TGAGGCAATAAATTTTTTTCAGTTAGTCAATGTATGTATCTATAGATGAATATTACCTATTGGTAGAGTAAGACAGGGATCAGCACCAATTCTATTTTTATTTTATTTTGTTTTTATAGATGTACACTGTAGGAATTGAAAGTGTCTTATTATAGCAATGTAATTCAATTCTTTGAATTCCTTCTGTGTTATGTGCCATAATTCATATATTGGTCTATTATCAAAAATATTTTTAATCTTCTCTCCCCTGACAACTTGATATGGTCCACTCTTCATTTTTTTAATGCAATGAATTGGAAAGCACCTGACTACAAAGAGATTTCTTCTGCAGTCATTTGAATAATTCACTTTCTCAATTTCTGGGAAAGATACCAAGAGAGCTTTACTAAGATTTATCAAATTATTGTTAATTATGTTGTAACACTTTCACTTTGATTCACCTTTTAAAACCTATATCATCAGCAATGGCAGGGAAACAGATTTTTAGATTTCATTACACTTTTGCCAAAACAATGCTCCTTGATAAAATGCCTGGATCTTATTTCTGTTTTAAATATATTATGATTACTTTAAAGCTGCAGATTTAGCTCATTTATGAAAAATGTTTGTCAAAAACTTCATTGGCAGAGCCAATCTTCACCATCAAACCAGTCAGCCAAATCAGATGCACTTTATGTCAAAAAATGTTTGACTGTATTTTTCAATTCAGATAGCTATTTTGAGGAATATTATAAAAATTAATGAGAACTAAAATTATATCCTGTGAAACTGATCACTAAAACAAATAAAAATTAAAATGGTGCAGGTGTAATATAATTAATTGTCCCATGTTTAAGTTATAAAAATAAGATCCTCCATATACTCTTTCCCATATAAAACAAGAAAAATGATTAAAAACATGGTATATCTTTAGTAAAATTGTGTGTGGCTATTGAATACTGCTGACTGGCTAGGAAGAATAATTAAATAAGAACTAGTATAAAAATCAGAAATGCCACTAAAAATGGAAAAGTTCTAGGCTGCTAATTATTATGGCAGCATATTTTGTTGTTGTTATTATGAAAAAGATATTAAAAATTTTAGAAGATCAATTATGGTGAGAATCGCTATGGCTTGAATGTATCCCCCGAAATTTCATGTGTTGGAAACTTAATCCCAAAATTTGTATGTTGATTGAAGGTAGGATCTTTGGGAGATGATTAGAATTAGATAAGGTCATCAGAATAGGACCCCCATGATGGGACTGGTGGCTTTATAAGAAGAAGAGACACCTGACCTGAGCACATTCTCTTGGCCTTCCACCCTTCCGCCATGTTTCGATGCTGCAAGAAGGCCCCTATCAGACATCAAGCAGAGTCCAACGCCATGCTCTTGGACTTGCTAGGCTCTAGAACCATGAACCGAATAAACTTTTTTTTTATAAATTATCCAGGCTGATATTCTGTTATAGCAACAGAAAATTAACTGAGACAAGAATTGACTATAACTCAATAAATATTTTATGTTATGTTTCGATACAATGGGCTTTAATAACTTTATTAACTAATGCACATCAAATCTGAAAGAACCCACATGAAAATTTTTTATACGTGGGTTTTATCCATTGTATCTTGTAAAAATTTGGTATTCCCAAAAGACATTCCAGTTACATTTAAAATAATCAGCTTTGCAAATCTATACACTTGAGCTGTTCCAAGTTACTTTTCTTCCCAGTCAAGAAACATCCTAGGGAAGGATGTTGACAATAGTGGAAAATAATTGCTCACAATTACATGAAGAAACCATTTTTGGTGTTCAATGTCTCCTACTGATTTTCTATTTGTTTCACTCTCTCAGGACTCTCCCTCAACAGCAAGGCATTCTTTGACAAGAGTCAGAAGGAGGAACAGAAAAGGTGTTAAATAAAATTTGTTATTATTCCTATCACTCCGCTTTACCTTTACCTATATCTGAATTCTGAAAATCCATTTAAGAATCCAATCACCTCATTCCTATCTTATTTAACATCATGATCACCTTTAACATGTGTACGAGAAAAGAAAGTCCAAAGCTCTATGGATTTATGATTAATCATTAAAGAAATCTTTCTCGCCGTTTGCTACATCTGAGGTTTTGGTGACATAATAAAACCAATGTGTCATACTACAATCTGGGATGGGTGAGTCCCATATCTTTTTTTAGTATTGTGGGGGAAAGGTCTATTTTGAACAAAGACTCATTCTCAGCCAATCAATTTTAGGAAAGAGTGTAAATGGTCACCTGGCCCTTTGTTGGTAAAAATAAGTGCAACACCATCCCCCCAAGATCAGAGAATTAGTGCTGCAAACTGCCGTGCCAACAGAGGCAGGCAGGTGATGTAAATGAAGCAGACAGGGCATAAGGAAAGAGGCGGTGAGGACGGGAGCAAGTAGGGGCCATGCCTCATCCAAAGGTGGAGGTGGCTATTCAACTCTAACTCCACTATTGCTAGATTTTTCACTTTTCTACCTGGATTTTCAAGTGAAATCTTCCAATTTGTAAATGTAGGCAGTTAAATCAACATTTTTCTAAAACACATTGTAAGCAAACCAAACAAGTCTACAGATTATATCTGGTCCACATTTGTTGGTTAGCAATCTCCACCCAAAGGCAACATGGTGATATTTTTGCCTGTGGTGAGAGGACACAGCAGTCTTTAGTCAAAGTTTGGGTCTCCTACTCTGACTCCAGCTAGCTCCCCAATTCTTAGCTCTGCCTCAGTAGTTGTTAACCCTTAACAAGACCATAGCTGAGTCTCACATATACATCCTGCAAATATAAAGTGAGGTGCAGGGTCAATAATCTAGTATTTCAAGTTTATAGAGGATGAAGGAGTTGTCATCAGCAAACTCCGCAGTCCATAGAGTTGGATGGAACTTTCTTTAAACACAATTTATTCCAGCTTCCCTGTTTTCACAGCTTCTGGTAACCTCCTCTAAATATTCCTCTAGGGACTAACAGTGCTTGGATTAGTAAATGGAGGCTGGACAACCCCAATATTATAGTTCCTGAATGCTCTTTTCATACACCTTCAATCTCTGGAGCTCCAAGGACTGTAAAAACTTTTTTTATTGAAAGAAGTAGCTATGATGCTAGTTTCAACCCTTCTTACTCCCAGCCCCTGGCCTACAATAACCCCTAGCTTTTAACTTCAGATGGTGTGTTGGCTTTAAAACATGTCCATAAATTCTTTGGTATTCCTCCCTTCGGAAGGCAGAGCTTCGTTCCCTTCCTCCTCAAGTGTGAGCTGTGCTTACTGACTTGCTTCTAATAGGAGAGACAATGGCGACTTCTGAGAATAGGTCACAGGCATTCTGGCTTGCTCCAAGCTCTCTCTTGAATTACTTGCTCTTGAGGAAGCCAGAAGTTGTGAGGACTCAGAACTATGGGGAGGCTCCTCAGTAGAGGAATGAGGCATGCTGCCCACAGCCATGGGAGGAAGCCACAATGGGAGCACTCTCAGCCCCAGGCAAGCTTTCAGATGACTGCAGCCCCTGCTTACATCTTGACTACAACCTCAAGAAAGATCCTGAGCCATAAACACCAACTAAATTGCTCCTGAATTCCTGACCAACAGAATCAGTGAGACAAGAGAAGTTTGTTGTTTCAAGATGCAAAGCACTGTTGTAATTTGTTCTGTGGCAATAGGTAACTAATACAGATGGGCAAAGCAACGCAGGCCACACCACCCCAAGGCCTGGCCTCATTATCTTCCTTTGTTCCTAGTTTAGCAGTGGCAAGAAGGTGGAATGTAACCTTTCACAGCTATGATAACCGTACAGGTAACGGGAGCCTGTTGGGTGAGAAAAATGAGGATTGTTTATAAGTTGAAAGGTAATTAAACTTAAGGAGAATTTCCCTTTCTTCCAGAGGTATTAACCTCTGGATGGCATTAACCAATGAGGTGGTGGTATCTCCTTCTTAAAATTTTTCCTTCAGGTTGAACAAATTCTGATTATGTGGTAGGCAGCTGGAATTTAGTCTTGTCCTAAGGCTCTTTTGTTGTAATAAGATTAAACGTTGAGAATAAATAGGAAACTTAACCAAAATATGAGATGTACATTAATTTCAAATAAAACTCTGTAACTCCCAAATTTAAAAGTCCCTCCTGGCACACACATACACACATATCAAGACCAAAGATTTCTGAGAGCATCTGCTGCCCACTCAGCAGAGGCTGAGCTCCCAGTTTGGGGGTGACGTTACCTTTGTCTCCTCTTCCTTCTCTCTCTGGCTTTCATCACAGAGGCATGTTTCTCAGTCTCTGTTGAGGTAAAACCCCGATATCTGAACCCAACCAACCAAATTAGCAAGTTGGTTATAAGCCAAATTAAAGTTTCACTCCCATAATGGATGAGGAGAAAGCAGCAGGTATTTCTCATGCACAGGGAGAGCATGAATTCCCTGAATTGCCAGGTTTTGGGGTCACACAAGACCTCCAGAAGGCTCTGGTGATCACCATTTTATCATCTGATAGGTGCAGGTAGTCGGGTACGTACGAGTTAAGTTTTAATGACTTAAAATTCTATCTCTAATTTTCATCCTCTCACAAGTTTAAGCTTTCTGTCTGTGTAAAAGTGCAAACATTCCATAAAGAAGTGAGGTCAGGTCTCTTTTGGTATGGATGGAGAATACCACAGAGTGGGTCTTACTGGCAAGGAGTGAGAAAGAGTAAGTTTTGACATGTGAGGGAATGCCTTGAAAGGGAAGAAAAAGTGCAGAAACAAAAGGATCTTGGTCTAATTCTTTGTGTCCAGAGGCAGCTCTGCAAATACTATCTTAATGAGCTACTGCCTAGCCCCTAATCTCATAAAACCGTCCAAAGGGAAAATGCATGAAAGGCAGAGTTGATTCTATCTGTTTTGATATTTGCCCTTGGGTTTCCTGGCCTGACTTTTGGGGCTCTGGGAACACATGAATTAGCACGAACCAGGGAAGGCGTTCAAAAGCAGACTTCTTCAATGATGAGCCGAATCAGTCAGTTACCTTACAGCTTGCATATTTATTGAACAAATACTACTAAAATAGCTAAAATACATTGGGTACTTGTCATGAGTGCATCAGTAAAGATCACATTGTTACAAAAGCCTGCATTTTCAGCAGTACACAACTGCAACTCTACATAAATGCCACAGATGCAGAATACTGTTTCTTGCTCTATTTACACAGCTGATATACCTATTCTAACAAAGGGTGGGGCGGGGGGACGCACGAGAAACTCAGGCCAATGGGAGAGCGAGAAGAGAACGAAGAAGTGCAGTGCATGCGTTGTCGGTGTTAAACAGTCAGAAGCAGAACAGTTCAGAACAAGGCCTGCCCTGTCAAAGGAAGAGCTAAAAGACAGTTATATAAAAATTAAGGTGGGCTTTCAGACTGGCTAACACAACAACATTCCATGAGTAGATGGTATTTTATTTTGTTTATCCACTTCACTGGGAGCAAGGACAAAAATGTAAAATCTACACCATGCTTATCAAAACCGCCAAAGAAGAGCACTCTGCCATTTTTTTTTAATTATTATTATTTTGTAAAGACATTTTTTCCAACTTCATTTTTGGAAAAGGTGTAATTTTCATATTCCTACTCAGATGCCGCTGTTTTGGATTTTTTTTTTTTCAGAGGGCATATTAAAAAAGAGTTTTGCCCTTTCCCCCCAAATATCCTTTCAAACAAAAAGAACTCAAAGAGACACCTCAAAACGCCTGTAAAATTATTGCTTTTCTTTCTCTAAGTTAGGCAGGCGAGGCTACGTGAAGGAATAGATTTGGTAAGTCGATTACAGTTTTGTGATTGCTCCCGTGACTGCATGTCTGTGAGTGCCAGCCAATGAGACAATAGCCTCTCACACTCTGGTAGCATTCACTCAACCTACAACACTGAGGAAGAAAGCCACACTGAAGACACAAGGAAAACAAGTCAATCCAGTCTAGAGAACAACATTCAGGGAAACAGAGTACCAACACCTTCTTAGAACATGGAAATAAAAAATAACTCCATCAGAGCTACCTCGCCAAGGAGCATGTTGAAAGTCCAAAATAGCACCATTCATCAGTGTCTCAGGTCCTGTGGCAGCATCTCGGTCACTTACCACAAGGAAACAATGAGTTTCAAACTACTTCTATACATCAAAAGAGTACATGGATAAAATATAGAGATATACAGACAATTGATGAACATAAACTACTAGGCTTGTTACATCTAAATGAAAAAAAAAATGGGGACTCTCAGCCTCTGCAAGAAGCAGTCGGGAGCTGTGTGAGTGAAAGGCGGGAGTGGACCGGTTGTGTGAGCACGGTGGGAGTTTGAGTTGTGGAAGACATTGTTGTAGCGAACCAGGCCTGGAGGCCCACCTGTAAGGGTTGTAAACGTGGATTCACAGTGTGAAATTCTGAGCGTTTTCACTTGAGTCAGAATGATTAAAAACTGGTTTGATGATAGCTATTTGTCCACTGTAAATTCTCTAAAGCAAGGCTCAGAGTCCCATAGTTTCTTCTTATACTTGATGATTTACACAGAAAAAAATCCCATATATGATACCATGACCTCATCAATACCCATACACCATATGTAATACAAATGGAGGTGTTACGATTAAAAAAAGTGGAGGTAACTGATTCCCGGGGAGTGGAGTCCATTGCCACCCGGTGGAGTCAGGGAGGCAGCAGCCGTCACATCCTTCTTCTTGCGGTTCACTTCTTTTGGGACGGGAAGTCTTCCCTGCAAGGCAGGTGGACCCACACAGACAGACACACAAAAAGACAAATTCAGTCGTGCTTCTGAAACCATTTTTTTAAATTTTGCTTCTTCTGCCCACATTTTACCCTTGAACTCCCACTGTTTTGCAAACAGAGTTTACATATTAAACACAGTTCACCTGAATGTAAATATTAGGTCTGTGGGGGCATGAAGTAATGAAACTGGCTGTCTTCGCTTCAGTAAAACAAAGTGCTTCTCTCATGGTGGTGCCGGCCACGTGAGAAGCAGCGTTCCCCAGACCCAGGTTTCTGGGGATAGTTTCTAGTATCAGATAGGGCCCGACATCAGAGAGGTGCTTATAGGAGTGTTAATAGATTTTTTTTTTTAATAAAGAATTCAGTGGGTGTGATGGAGGGGATTAATAGTCTGTTTTCGAATATATAATAAAAATATTTAAAAACACAACTTTCCTACATCTTATCTATGTATGGTTTATTCTGTAAGCAGTTGGCACATCCCACATGGGCCCTAACGTCAGAACCAGAAGTGGGCACCAAAGATGGGAGTGTCTGGGAGGGAAGTAGGGTGAGGGGCCGGGCAGTGGCTGCAGTGGGCAACCAAGGCCAGAAGACGGTGGGATTCCGCTGGTCCGGACTGACTGTGCCTGTTCTAAGTCTCTCCTCACAATCCTGATGAGTGAGTTTTGTGTGTTTCTGACTAGAATAATTCAACCTCAGGGTGACTACTGGCCAGCCACCATGGTAGGGTGAGGGGAGTGCTCCGTCATAACCAGACAGCAAAAGCACAGGGCGATGAAGCCCACTTGCTGCAAGCGATACAAATAAGGGTCTTAATTTACCGCAAATACATTTAATGTTCTGTTCAGATAGGAACACAGTGAAGATTTGACAACAGTCTCTCTTCTAGCTAAAGCATTGATTATTGGAGTTTTCTTGGGGAAAAAAATTATTCTTTGTGGTTTTAAAAGATCTGGCTTTTTGTTTTGTTTTTTTTTTGCTCAGATCATATGTTCTAACAGGACAGTTTTGGTAAGCCAATTTGAGTAGATGTGAGCACTTGGATTAAAGTGATAATCTTACTTTGTGATGTGTAAATTACCACATTTGAATTTCTTTTTAGGAAGAATCCAGAAGCCAGAAACTCCTAAACAACTCAAAACTGAATAAATATTTTCAGCAGCTCGAGGGTGAATTAAACGCAACGGATAATTTAACTTTAAGAAGTCTTACTTTACTGTCTAGATTTTCCATATTAAACATCTGATGTGCCTAAATTTTGTATTTAAAAATCTCAAACTTAAGAGCATACAACATTTTTAGGATGTATATAAAATCCAGTCTTGGGTTGTGGTTTTAGAGGTTGTTTTGGTATCATTAAATACTAATGTGACCAAAACAGAAAATTAAATGAAAATATGATTCATCATTCACACACCCTTAAGGATCTAGATACAATTTCCAAAAGCACAATATTGAGTAGTTCATTGAAGTTGTGAAAATAATTTCGATCTTGAAATTTTGGTACACAATCCCCAAAATTAAAAAAAAAAAGAAATCTACTGTAATCCTGATATCTTTACAATAATGCTGCCACCGCCCCCCATCCCCCAATCAACCAATTAGCATGGTTCAGGATATGACAAACTTAGGTTTTGGACAAATGAAGAGTTCAACAGCTGTTAATTGTCACAGACCAGGAAGGAAGGAAAATCAAAAGTTCGCAAACATTATCTCACTCAACAATTACACTCTTTAACAGCTAGCCTTAAAACTGCCTCTTCAGTTCAGACTTAGTCTGTTCAGAAGTGAATATACAGAACATTCGTCTGTGTCTCTATATAAGTTTGTTTTGCTAATCTTTTATGTCCATGAAAAATATACAACAAAATGAAATAAAGAGCTGGGGATTTGGGAAGAGGTACTTCCAGGAAAAAAAAGTGAAAGAGATCATTTGAGATCTGAATTTACCATTTTTACTATTTTTCCTCTTTTGAGGTCCCCAAATACTCACGAATTTCTTCATTCATTATTCATGTTCTGAGTGCCTACTATGGCTTGAGCACTCGATTAGATTTTAGGCCTACAGAGATTAAAACAGAAACAAAAACAGTCCCTGCCCATTTTGTCCTTTGTTAACTTACTGTACAGGAGACACTCAGGTGACTGGACCTGGCAAGCAACGGTGGCAAGTCACGCAGAGAGGTGCGCTACTCAAGTCCCCTGAGGGCCCAGAACCCAACGTGGAAGAGGTCCTGAGAAGACAAAGTTCTGTGCATCCTCCCGTTGGAGCCCTCGATTTACTACATTTCAATCCTCCTCCCCTGACTGCCCCCCTACTTTTTTTAAAGAATAGTTTTTCTGCCCCCTACTAAAGGAATTTTAGGCTTCTGCAACAAGGGGAGGATATATTTTGAAGAAAGAACACAATGACATCTTATTTCTCCAGAAATCAGACCTTACAAGAATTCAGGCAAAAATATTCCAGCCATGGAGGAAATCGTGCTTCCATCATCCAGCACACAGTGATCTTTGCAGGACTCAGGGACTTGAGTAATCTAGAAGGCTTCGGGGTTGAGGAGCGATATGTTCAGTGGCTCCCACAGACTGGCTCTCCTGGAGGTCACTCCAGTGGCCTTGCCTGAGGGTGGATGGCCCTCCCTGCTAGGAGATTAATCCCCAGTTATTCAATAATGTGCTTTGGACCAAGTACATCAAGATTATTTTTCTTACAATTATGCAAAGATACGTTTTTCCAGAAGGAAATTGATGGGAAAAGGACAAACACATCATGCTTAAAATACTATTCCATTATTTAGAAAGGAAAGAACTTAAAATAGCAGAAGACCTGAATCCCACAATACACCGTGCCCACCCCTTGGAGCATGCCTCAGGGTAGGCAAGACCTAGCGCCTGGACTGGCTTTGCAAGAGTTAAGGGAGGCACTGTTGATCTCATTGAGGAGTTTCACTTAGTCTTGCCCTTCTGGTCGATGTCGCCAGTATCAAAGAAAGGACCTTTGGATGTCTGAATAAGGCAAGAACTAACAAAAAGGCTATATTGTACTTTGTTTCCCATCTTACCCTCAGCTGCCTCAGGGGAATTGTGCCCTGATCTGGCACAGTAAAGATGTTTAAGGTTATACTGCTGCTGGTTGGTAGTGGGGAGGTGGTGGGGTGTGGGTGTGCTTTAAGTAAGGCTCTACTATCTCAGCTCTTTTCTACTCCAACTCTCTCTACAAGATCTGTGCAAGTCTAGCTCGGGCAGGGCCAAACCATTTTGTTCACCTACTTTCCTGCCAATGATTTCAACCTTGACCTTCAGAAATTCTCTGAAAGATTAAAAGTGATTTAGGATTGTTTTCTTTCAGTGCAAACTGCCAGTTGACACAACCTCTTCAACTTCTGCCTGTCAGTATAAGATAGGGAATTGTTGAACCCATTTAGTGTAAATAAGACTTTTCTTAAACATTGAAATGCTAGTAATAGCTGAGGAAGGCCGGCAAGGCCATTGGTCAATTACACGTGTAAAACTTTCAAATAGAAATTTTATTTTCAATGGACTTTATTTTTCTTTATTAACTGCAAAATCAGCAGGTCATTGGTAAAAAGTACAATCCTCCTGCTTGAGGTCAAATGGAAATTTACCCTAATAAGCAACGTCCAAGATATCTACAGTAAAACTGGTCAATGTTTTTTTGTTTGTTTCAGAAATGGTGCTAAAACCTAATATATAAATTTTACAAATTTATTTAAGGCAGAGAATTGTCACATCTAACATGCCAGAACAAAGACATCATGATTATACAAATTTTCTTTTTAGGCCTAAAACTTAGGACAAAGAAATATAACAGTCTTGTTATGTTCTTCCCATTTTGTTTCATGGGTAATCTTATCAGACATTTAGGCATCATTAGCAGACAAATATGTTATCATCTTATCTTTTAAGAGATCTTTTAGTTTGACTGTCATATTTGAGTTAGTCTAACCAGGAATGGAACAAATTTAAAACCTGTAACGTGAACATTTGATATATCGATTCCATGATTTTTAAGCGAAAATTTGCTTTTGACTTATTTCTTAAGAAAGGAAGATAATGTGAACTTTAAGAGTCATAGGACTACAGGACATGTTTTTTTTTTTAATATATGTTCTTTCCAAGGTCATCATAGTATCAGATTAATGAATTACTATAGCAGCTTATAATAGACATTAAAATGAAAAGAAATAACTCTGATTTTTTTTAATTGCTTCTAAATTGAAAACAGTGTTAAGAACATGGTAGCTGGGATCTTACCTGAGGAAGCCTTCCTGCCATTTCCTTGTTTGGAAATGGTTCTTGACTGACCCAGACACAGAGTCCTGGGTAATAAACCTATAGAGACATGAAAGCACACATATTCATATTAAAAACAAGATCCACTATAAAACCACATGGGATCAGCTTAATGAACTCAATTCTCCTCAGTAGTCACTTATTTCCCGATTGCAACTTAGAGCGCTGGGGAACCCATTAACTCTTGAAAATTGTTAGTGTGCTTCTGAATATACACTGTACTCAAGAGAGTCAATGTCTTCCAAGACTAAGTCCAACAGAGAAGAGATATCAATCAATGTTCTCTTTAGCAATTAACGTAGCAGCTTAATGGCATGTCTGCTGAGTGCACTAAGTCACCGGGGAGGCCTAACTTTCAAAGGAACCTATGGTAAGTGTCCTTGCAAAATTCTATGTTTATGTTGTGTCATGAATCCGTCAAAGTGGGGTTATCCTGATCATTTATGAGAAAGCTAAAGATTACACACAAAGGAAAGGAGGAAAGGAAGAAGCAGCCCTGATTCTCTCCACGCCCATGTGGCCACTGACAACACACTCTGCCCAGCTGCCTGAACAGCCGAGCATCTGAGGGAGGGGTGGGAGATGGGCAGCATTGCCATGAATGATTTGGAGAATACTAGCTCATGAGTTCGGGGGGTGGGAGGAGGTGGAGCGAAGGAGTGGAAATGAGTAACTCTTCTTTAAATATACAAAGGGAGATTAGCATGAGGTTGCTGACCAGCTGTTCTCCATCCCCAGCAAGACAGGAATGGGGGAAAGGACTTAAAAATTACAACTACAGATTTAGGTCAGCTATAAGGAAAAACTCAGCATAAGAATTGTTAAATTACTAAAAGAATTTAGACAGAAAAACTGTGAAGTCTTCTTTAAAAAAATTTAGAAACAGAACCCAACAACCATCTGTCAGGACTAATTCACATTTGATATAGTCCCGCTCAAAGGGAGAGGATGAATATTAGGTAAGATTTCCTCCAGTTCTGATTCTCTAATTTCTGTATGTAGCCTCACATTTACTAAACAATAATTAAGAGTCACATCTCAACAGATCAGCAAACAGACTTAGATGTCAGTTTCGTTTTTGGAAGCGCTAGATGACGTAGCCTAACCCTGAGTCAACTGCAATGTCTTGTATGCCCCAATCAATCCATTTGGTCAGAGGGGTTGAGGTAGGAACTGCAGATGGTTGTGTTTATTCTTTGGGATAATTGAACAGTAACCATTTTTGCTCTATACCAGTAATATTTACAGTGCATCCCAGCTTACAAAGCTATTTTGCATACACTACCTACTTTATCCTGGCAATAAGCCTATGCATAGGTCCTATTACCATTACGCAGATGACGAAACTGAAATTCGGAAAGATCAATTGCCTTGCCCAAAGTCACACAGTCAGTGTAGGTAGGATAAGACTGGAACTGAAACTAGGTTTCCAGATTCTAAACCTCAGTTCTTTCCACTGCCTGCCCTCGCATTATCCAAGAATGAAAATCGCCTACCAACTCTCCCTCAAAATTACACCAGTCCACAGCCACCACCCACATTTGGGTCTTAAATATTTGAGAGCTCATCCTGCAAGAACTGGAACTATCATCTCACTTTGGACAGGGTCTGCTTTCTGAGCCATGCAGTTCCCCCAACCCCAGCCACCTTCCTCTTCCCCAGATTTCCCATCCTTTGCTCAGCTCCTTCTGGAAGTATTCCACCATCTGCCTTGTTTGGGACAGGCAGACATTCCCTGACATTCCCCTTAGCCAGGAATAGGTGAAGAAAACAAAATTACGAACTAAAATACACAAGTTCTTTTCCAGGCTTAAAACAAAGTCCTAGCACAGAAAACCCCAGTTTGGGCTTAACTTTAGCAGACTCCAACTTGGGATCAACTGTAAGTTCACTTAATATAAGTGGATATAAAATGATTATCTTCCTATATTGTCACTTTAAAAAGCAAGTTTTAAGTACAATTTAAAATATTACAAATATTAGTAAGAAATCGAGTTCTGTTGGAAATCAAAAACATTGATAAAAGTACATGTAAAAACTTAGTAGGCATAGGAAGCAATTAAAAGCAAAATCAAGTAAACCATTTTTGTGTTCCTGTGCTTTTCTGAGATATTCTAATGACACCACTTTAGCTTTTAACTTCTAGGTTCAAGGGATTAATCCTAACCCCCCCAAGTAATGTGTAGGAGAAAATAGCTTGCCTCTCAGAATCATTACTCTTTTTCTAACAATTTGTTTTTCCAAGAGCTCTCCCTTTGTTTAGAAAAACAATCAATAATTTTTGCCAAAGAACTTGGGAACATGAGTGTCTGATAGCGAAACCCATGACTAAGGAAACTTTCTCCCTTAAATGTATTTGTTAAATTGGTCAAGGGCATTTCCAATTTGGCATGTTTCAGTGTTTGAATCATAAACTAATCATTGTGTACTTTAAGAAAAATGAATGTTGCTTTGGCCTTCTGGTAAGTTCTTCAAATCTCCTTCAAAGTCAGAACCTTCAGCCAAAAATGCTAGGGAAAGAGGAGTCTCAGTTACATTCTTAAAACCTGCTTGGTTGGTATCTAAAAACTCAGCATATGCATGGACACAGTATCTGAAGGGGATATTTTTCTTTTAAGCACAGTTGGTTTTCAGAAATGGTAGTAGATTATAGGAAATAAATACTATCTCTCTACATTACAGCTTGTTTCTTGCCTATACCTGTGGTATTTTGAGACTCTAAAATGAAGGGCTTAAGAGAAAAGATCTATTGATAATCATTATTCTTGCTCTGAAATGACTTGAACCTGAACTTCGGTATTCCACAAGGTCCTCAACCCTCACTTCAACCCAGTGCTGGACATGGAGAATAGGTAGTCACAAGCAACAATCATGAGCCCTTCTGTCAACAGGTGTCAGTTTGAATGTATTGCATTTTCTCTGCACCAATCTTCTCATCTGAACATCTTCTAGCCCCAAGTTCTACTGCTGGCAGTCAGGGACACAATGTTACTTTTCAACTTCAAATTTCTTACTAATTTCCATGCCTTCGTTCACCAAGAGTTCATGAAAGAGCTGAATGTGGTGGATGATGTGTTAGGTTCTAGGGAATTGCAAGAGAAAGAGTTCCTGCCTTCTAGAAGCTCAAGTCTTGGGGTGGTGGTGTGAGTACAGCAGAGGTGATCAACCCATAAAAAGATCATTTTAAAAATGTGTGAGGGGCTGACTTGTGCTCCTCAAAATTCATATGCTGAGGTCCTAACCCCCAGTACCTCAGAACACGACTGTATTTGGAGACTGGGTTTTATAGAGGTAATTAAGTTAAAGGAGGACATCAGGGTAAGCCCTAATCCAAAGTGATCGATGTCCTTCTAAGAAGAGATTAGGACATACAGAGAGAAGAGACCATGTGAAGATACAAGTAGAAGACAGTTATCTGTAACCCATGGAGAGAGACCTCAGAAGACACCAACCCTGCTGGTATCTTGATCTCAGACTTGTAGTCTCCAGATTGTGAGAAAATAGTTTGTTGTTGAAGCCACCCACTCTGTGGCACTTTGTTATGGCAGCCCTAGCAAACTCAACAGAGTGTGCTTTAAGTGCGACAACAAAAAAAAAGAAACATACAGGTTATGTCAAATGTAATAGCTGCTGGAACATGTACCAACAGACTAAACAACAAACAAATCCAACATTTAGCATAATATCCAGTAGTGGTGGCAACAAGAGGAAATGGGGGTGGCAGTGAGCAGATCTGGGAGGGCATCTGATGGCTGTCAGATGCAAGCCAAGGATGATAAAAGGGTGAGGGATAAGGGCGTTATGAGCTCCACGTGGGCAAGTGCTCCTGTGGCCAGGTCTCCTGCAACTCTCAGAAGCCACAACAGTATCAAGACCAATGTGACCCCATAGGTTTCTGTGCCCTCAGTTTTCTAACTAGCTCAGAACAATAGGAGCTGACAGTGATCCTGTGATTGAGGTTTTTCAGTGCTGATAATACGAGAGTCAGAAAACTGGTAAGCTGATCTCTCTTTCTGGAGTCCGTCTGTGCTCACTGGGCTATAAAGCTGCTCATTCTTCTTCCTACTAGTCAGCTGATGCTCCAAAGATGGACATGTGGATCTACCGTATGCCATTCATTCATTCCTCTGAATCCAAGTTTGTGTTTCTCATGAAGACCAATTAAATTAACTGTCTTTTACAATTTACTGAGTTGTCTCTCTTTTGTTGTTGGTGGTGGTGGTTTGTATCCTGAAAATTTAAGTGTTCTGGGTATTACACACAGGAACACCTCAAAATTGTTGTTTTATTAAACAAGTAAATCCAAAGTCTGCACAAATCTTCACAAGAGAAGTATGTCTTCTTTTAAAGTATTAATATGTCTTCTTCCATGTATAAAATAAACAATTGTTTGTTCTTAAATAAACAAAATCCTCAACCCTCTAGAATACTATTCTTCCAGAAGTCAATTAGGAAATCAGAGAAGCAAGCTATCCCCCGAACAATTAAGAAAATATGAATGTTGGTGGAAAATGTAGTGGGAAAGGAAAATTTTATTATTTTAATTTGGAGAATATGCAAACGTTCTGCTTGAATTCTGGGTAAGTGTGAGTATTTACACTTGTCACTGGGTTAATGCATCTTTTTCTACAATTCTATGTTTATCTCACTGATGATTAAGTTTAAAAACAATGAAATGATATGAAGAATCACATTGGTTTAAATATAGTAATCATGATCGATATGCACTTGGATATCCATGAGCAACTCTTAGGTAAAACTAACTTTATGCTTTCAAGTATACTGAATATATTTAAACACACTACATATTTAAATACGGTTTATGGGGAATATGTGCTATTTCTTATTGTTTCTTTTAAAGGTATTTGCTAGCCGGGTACTTAAATTTCAATAGTCTATCATAGCCTACAAGCTTAGAATAAAATACTCAGGTGTTTGCCTTTCTTTCTTTTCTTCCTCCTTTCTAGACTTGTTTTAGAAGTCTAAGAAAGTGAATCACGAAAAGTAACTTCATCTTTTAAGTCTATAAGACAATTAGC